CTGAAAGTGTCGTCATTGCAAACTTTGATCTTATGTCTATAATTTGTCCAAAAATCAAGTTCATAGGTAGTCTATGCAGTCTATAGTTCAATACATCAAGCACCTAAGGACCCAAAAAAACACAGTAAAACAATGCCATTCTTGAATGACTGCTGTTGCTAATGTAATAGTTATGTTGTTGCATCAATTTTTTTACAGAACTATAAGAAAAMTCCTAGATGATAACTCAGACAACTGGGAACAATATCTTGATGGAGCTGTTTTTGCTTTAAATACAAATGTCAGTACAACAACACGCTACAGTCCCTTTTTTTTGATGTATGGTCGCCACCCAATATTTCCCTTTGAAAGTGAAAAGTACAACAAGAAATGTGATTCCACAACTCAGACCTCAAATGATGAGACTGAGATAGCAAAATCCATTGAAAGCAGGATGGAAGCTTTTAAAAAAATCCATGATGAAATCTTCCCCAATGTTTCTACCAATATATCAAATGCCCAAGAGAAACAGAAATTACAATACCAAAAGAAAAGAGGAGCTATATGCCCATTTAAAGAAGGCGACCTGGTATTAAAGAGAAACATGCTACAAAAAACAAAGAAGGGCCACAAAATGGAAGATAACTGGCTTGGGCCATATGAGTTGTGCGAGGTCGATGAAAAGAATGGCACATGCCGACTGAAGAGTTCCTGCACAGGTAAAATCCTTAAACGAAAAACACCTATGAAACAACTCAAAACATACAACCCTAGTCCAACTCAGCCCCCCTCCAACAAACCTGCCACAACTGTGCCTCAAGCTTCCACCTGTAATAATGGCAGTCCTACATCAGCACCTTATCAGCCCACCTCTAAAAAACCTGCCACAACTGTACCTCCAGCTTCCACCTGTAATAATGGCAGTCCTACTGTAAAATCAGACACAAAGTCCACAAAAACTGATCCAACATCAGCAGCATCTATGGCCAGATATAATGAAATAATTAGCAAGCTAACAGGTGATGAGATAGTGAAAATATTTGAAACAGCTGCCCTGCCACATTTAAAAAACATTTTGACAGGAAAAGAGAAGAGTTGGCGCTTTGACGTTTTAAAGTKTAAATCATTTGAGATGAAAAGAAGTGATCTTTCATGGAACGTCCACTTTAGCTGTTTGTCACAAGAACAAGAGGATATTCTATYTGATCTCCTGCAAGACCACTTCCCACATGAAAACGTTGAGTGTGTTACAAAGGTCCTCCTCCCTGAATCTATTGTCAAGATAATTCAAAGTTGTCTAGATATRACTGAAGCTGAAGCTGAGCTATACGCGAAAACCAGCAATGATGAGAGTGTCCACAACTTCGAGGAGAAACTACGAGAAGACATCACAAAAAAGAAACGAAAGGGTACTCATGCATTCTCCAGTACGTCTTTGCCAAAAAAGAAGAAGACCAATGTCGGTATTTCTAAAGGCCTACCTAAAAGGTTAAAAAGCTGTTTCACAGCATCTTATCCTGACTTTGYCCTCACACCTCAGGGTAGCCTTCTAGTCGAGATGATTGTAAATGGAAAAATTAAATTCGACGGAGACCAAACTTTGAGTGCAGATGATTTGAAATCCCTCTCTGGTTTTCACTGCAAAGACAATGAAGAGAAATGGTTAACAAATTTTGTCATTGAATCATATTTGAAATTAATTAAATCGGCAAGTGCAGCGCAGGGGAGAAACATCAAATTCTTTAAAGTTGAAGAATTTCAAAAAAAAGGTGTTARAGTGCTAATAAAAGGAATTGGGAACCTACTAGATCAGGACTTTATCTTCATTCCACTAATCCATGCCAATCACTGGACCCTGGCTGTTATCCATCCAAAGGATAAACTTGTCTTAGTACTAGACAGTTTGGCAAGTGACACCATCAAGCCCATTACCTACACTAGAATGCAGAAGATAAAGTCCTTGTTACAGGAAAGTGACCCATCGTTTAAATCCAGTGACTGGTCATTCATTGTTAATTGGCCTGATGACATACCCCAGCAAATCAATACCTTTGACTGTGGTGTTTTTACCTGCATGTTTGCAAGATGTCTTGCGACTGACACCCCAATGATTAAGCAGCCAGGCATTGATGCTGCAAGGAAGATTATGGTACTTGAATTACACCAGGAAACACTAGCAGACATCAATTTGCACCTAAAATCAAGGCAAATAATTGTACCAAAGTACTGAGTTGCCAATTTATTAATCAATCATGAAGCTCAAGTTATGTTCAAGACATTTTCACAGACAATTATGTCAGATACTAACAAAGTGAATTAACATTAGATAAACATCAATGTAAATAGCAATTTGTCTGTTCATGTATTATTTGTCAAGAGCCTGCATGGACTCAACATCATCACTTTTACAAAACTATTTTTATCGTTTCTCRTGATAGATTTTTATACTTTTTGTGTACTGTATTAAGAAATGATCTAACCAAATTTCCCAAATCAAGCAAATTCTCAAAACTTTGACGACGAGACAAACTTTTCTCGTATAAGTTTAGTACTCATTTTGAGAAATCTCCCTCTCAAATTAAGACATTTGAGCTAGAATTCTAGTAACTTATATTTTTCTCTTGAAACAAACAAGAAAATACTGTTAAGAGTGTGTGTATTTAAATGATTTCAGCTATCGTTCTTAAGCTTTAAATTAAGCTTACATTGTGGTCGAGTGAGTTATTTTCCAACATTCTGGATGACTGATAACGAATATCGATTCTTTAATTTTTTGCTATKACTAAAAAGCTAAATAGGTTTATAAGCTTATGCTTTTCAAAAGTCCAACCATACTTTCAGCTTCAGCTTATTTAAGCTTACTAGGAAGTTACACTTTACAATAGGTTAATAAGAATATATAAGCTCAATAAAGACTTAATTAGAACCTACCTGATGTGTTTTGATCCCGGTTTCGATCGAAGAGATACAGTTCTAGCTATAAATCCAACTATGTTCTTGCTACTTAGCCGTTCGAGATTTATACTGAAATAGCTTCAATCGCTACAAGGGGGTCCATCTTTGTAAATGTTGCTTTTGTGGGGAAGGGAGGGGAAACACATAACACTAGTGCCCAGTGTTCGGGGAAACACAAAACTCGGGGGAACACAAATCCCTGTGACAGCGNTTTGAAAATAATTTTTGACAACGGCCGTAAATGTGATAAGATGGATTCGAAATCAGAGATATTTTCATTTAGAATAATTAATTGGCTTTAGAACTGGAAGGATATCGTTACAAGAAGACGACAAAAAAGACAGATTTTCACGATTTTTCTTACTCGTTTTCTAATGTTACCGATTATTATTATTTATTATATTACAGTTGATTAAAATGACTAATAAAACCTTACCAGAAACTTTGTATGACCTGATGTTTTTTTTTMGCATCCATCGAGAAAACTACTTTACATTAATGAGACTTCTTGCGGCGATGTAAGAATGAACTTCAATCTGGCAAAAAATCTTTTTTTTTATCAGTTGTTGCCATGTTACTTTTGTATCTTTGATGCTATTTTTAAGTAGTACGTTGCTCTCCTCACGTCTCTGAATACAAGATTTTTTTTCTTGTATTCGTTACAATAATCAATGCGTTATTCTTATTTAAAATCATAAAATATTTTCCATTTTTCCACTTCTCTGATATAAATCACGAACTGAAATCCCAAGTCTTTCCAGCCGAGAATCGAAACACGAAAAATATCTTCCAAGTTTTTTTTTTATAAAATAAAAATAGCCGTGTTTTCTATGCTCTTTTTGAAACACGYTTTCGATCAATCAATACAAGGGTTCAATAATATTATTATTGTAAATATATGATTATACAATTATTTTATAATTCACATTGGAATTTTAATTCTTTATCCTTACTCTTACTAAATTATTCGTATATTTTCATTTGAAATCTTACTTATATTTCTCATTTTATTCTCATTACTATTCTAAGTTATTTCCATTTATCATATAATTATACCTATATTTCTCCATTACGTAAAATTGATATTTTCACTAGTGAAAATAACACATTCGAGGTTTCTCTATATAGTGGAAGAAAGAAAAAGGTATTTTACAACATTATTTGCTTTCATATTTAATTATATGATAAACAGAATATTACATGGTCGCTTGGAGATACGAATTTTATCTTCTCATGTTGAAGATCTTTTCAACACTCGAAGATAAAATCCGTATCTCCGCACGCCCATGTAATATCCTCTATTTATCCAAATTCTCATTTCATTATTCTCCTCATTTTCATTCTTCCATTTTGTTTTTTCGTGGATTTAATTTCCATCCATTCTTATTCTCCAGTTCTTATTCCCATTGTTCTATTCCTATTTATTCAAAAGGACGTAATGGCTTCCAGGAAAACTGGAATACACCACGAAAAAAAACTGTTATGATGTAGTACTCTCTTTTTTAGTGACATTTCTTTTATTTTTGGTTTGTTATTTTGATTCTATAACGGAACAATTATAAATAAAATAACTTTCAATCCACACTTTCAAAAAGAAAAAATGTCTCTTTAATTCTCATT